ATGAGAACATTCAATTCAAATCGGTGTAGAATTGGAAAGATAGAGCGGCCATAAACAACGCCAATAGGGAAATTCACTTATTGATAATTTGGCAATATAGTGATGCATACTCAAAGCAATGACAACTAAAAGAATTATGAAACTCTTTGATCATTTCGGATAAATCGATTTTCCAAATATGCACTGATTTGCGTAACCATGGCGATTTGATTGAACGCAATTTGCCTCGCCAATCACGGTCTATTTGATTCACCTTATTGGGAACGTGGTCGTTAGCCTAACCTAATCGGATACATCCATCGGCCGAACTGATGATGCATTTGCAAATAGACGGGTGAAACAGAAAGTAAAAACAGCAAATCAGCAAATAATTACTCGTATTTTAAAAACTAGTAAATTTCAACTTTGCTTTAGAATGATGTAGGAAATTGTTGGAGATTAAGAGAATGGTGTGATTTCTTTAAAATTCATAAAATAGCATCCCAAGACATGGATTTAGTCTAACTGAATGGAGAAACTACGGGCTGATATCTCTGGAATGGGTGGAAAACATTTAGAAAGCAAAAAAGCTTTTGATTGGGAAGTAATTCAAGATATTAGAACTCCTATGTAAGAGATTTAGTCATTGACATGAGGTGATCATAGAATATAGCACGAGGGGTCGCATACTACTACTGTAGAGCTTGGAGTGTCCAACAGATTCTACCGGTCAGAACCTAATAGACTAAATGGGCGTTGCACACACAACATTCGTAATACTGTTGTGTCACAGACATGACTCGTTCCAGCAGTCAGGAGAAAGTCTCATCTATTATGAATAAGCAACGATATGTTGATTAGTGGTACACAGCAGCTACAGTTGTCAAGGTAACTGCTTAGAAAGCCACCCAGCGGATCATTAAGAAAGAATGACCAACTGAAACCTCATGATATTGAAAAGCTGTATTCTGTCGTTTGTTGCCTTGAGTAACAGTCGAATGATCCGAAACAAGTGCCGGAAACAGAAGACCGACAGAAAGGGACCGAATCAGGTCAATATTAACTGAACTATGCACTAAAGAATTCGGGATGATAAATTATACGGTGTAAGGGTGAGAATAAGTAAACTTATAAACTTGAAACAGATGGAATATAATCCCGGGGACGACATGGAATTATAGTTTGATCATATGTTTCAACGAGTTGCTAAAGACAGAAACAAATCGAAAGTATTGGAGAAGAGGGTATTTGACTACAACTTTCTGTTGGCAATTAATGTTTCGCGACTGGTTGAAAAGAAGCCACAGGTAATTGTGAAGTCCAGATAGCTGAGGGGATCGCCATCGTGAATCTCGTTGACCTCTGCCAAGCGTGGGACCCACAGTACTGACATCTATTCTCGACCATATCTCTGTCTCTAACCCACGTCAATCCTGATCCCTTGGGACGCAAACAAGAGCGCGGACTGCACCGAACGAAGCCAATCATGAAACTAGCTTGTTCAAAAAGGAGGGCAAGACAAATACTCCAATTTCTTCATGCAGTTCTCAATACCTGCGCTGGTGTCGTCCATCGAAACCCATGCAAGGTATATAACGTAGTGTATTAGGCGTCAAGTAGATCATTTGATGAAAATAAAACATAATTGCAGTTTGCTTTCCATTACTAAGAGTGTTCAAATAGGAAAAGCAATCACTTAACCAATTCCTATCGATCAACTGGTATCCACATTTTCTGCGGTAATCTGTATTTTGAAGACAGAAGGCGCATATCGAGAGAAGTGATAGCTCGTTCGGGTCTACTGATTGCAGTTCACGCAGGTACCATACATTGAAACAGATAAATGAATTAATATCAAGCTATAGCTGTCTCAATTTCTGTACTGACCCTTTGATTCTTTGAATGTTGGTCAACCAAATTAGTCGACGGAGTTTCCCCAGCGATAAAATTGAATGGTTATAATAGTTTTTAAAGGGGAAAAAACAACGAACTAACCTTCTTCCAATGGAGTATAGCTGCACGTGTAGGTGCCGTCATGATTATTCTGGACTTGACAGGTGAGTCGTTCATTGTCCGGAGCACACAAGATTCCTGATACTGTGCCCTGTCCGGTCGGATCGATGGCAGATGCATCCACGGTGAACTTCACATAGGAAGCCCGGAAAACTCCTGTCGTAAGAGTACATGTTGAAAGCAAATACAGGTGAAATTTTGTGAGCTGTTACAAACTAAATACATGGAACAGATACCCCAATTTTCGTTCTTTTGAATAATGAACCGAAAAAAAATTACCAGTTATGTTGATTGACACTTTCAAAGGGCTTTCAGTCAATTACACTGTCACAAATCAGTAATGACATACGGATTATGAAATAAGCTGCTGTCGAATATGAAATGTCACCTTTGGATTCGAACCAGATGTTCACCTAGTAGACGGAGAGTTTAGGCAGGATATTTACAGGCAGTCATGCAGGAAACATGCAATCCAAACGTGCTATATGCGGGAAGCGAAGGATCAAAAGTCCGCCCGCGAGGGTATGGCGCAGGGTTTGAGCATCACAGAACCCACCCTTTGATCGCACACCAAGCCCATACGTTAGACACAAATCCGTCCGCAGGTCTGGTCGATTTGCCGGAAACGCTTGCACAAAGAATGGACTGCCTGGGATATGTGCCTCACCATTGTACACGACATTCACGATGTAGCGACCGGGTTGAGTGGGGGTGTATGTCACAGAACATGTACCATCCCCATTATCCACACATTCGATCGTGGCCTCACCTGGTCCCGTCACAGTGACACCAAGTGGTGCAGCTGGGGCATTGCGACTGTCTATGGTGAATGTGGCCGTCTGGTTGATCAGAGCTTGAAGCAAGCCAGGACCTTCGGCGAAAACTTTGGTAGCTGACTGGTCTGGACTTGCTTGGGGCCATCTGCTTTTGGCGATCAAATTGGCCTAGGTTTAAGAAATAAGAGGAGATTTGTGTTTTCAAAAGCCACACCGAATAGGTATGTAACGCGAATTCGGGCCTGTCAAAATTCCATCGGGAACGAGCATGCGGGGCGAAATAGGAGATCCGAAGATCGTAATATAGTGCAAATAAGCAGGCTATATTTCGCGGGCTTGCATAATGCATTGCAAGATTCCACTGAGACATGCCACGTGCTTCTAGATACCTTTTCTTTTTCTGTTATATAAGGTCGTGGAGGGTGCACGCCCAACTTCGGCCCAGCGGGGTCACGATTTGAGTCATCCAAATCAGTAGCTTGTTTGACTTCAGGATCTAATGTCAGTGGCTGTTTATATGAAACAGAACCGATGGTACCAGTGGTTTCAGCTCTATGGGCATCGGGTTCTTCTTGAACCGAATACAAGGTTAATGACTCGGCGGATATTATTGTAGTTGATTCGGTCTGAATGTGCAAATGAAATACTCCAGTGGTTTGGGCGGCGGACGACTGTGATGTGGAAGGGGTCTGAATTTCACCAGATGCAGTCATTCCTTTAGTGGGAACCGAAGACGGAGCAGCTGGGGGTGGCGTTCCACAACCGTGACCGTTACAACATACAGTAGGATTTGCGCGGACGGGCATCGCATCGGTGACACGGTGATTTTTGTGCGTAACCTGGACGAACATCTCAGTACGAACAACGAAAACCGTTTCAGGTGCATTGGTCCTAGCAAAAGCTGAGTCTGTAGGTCGTGAGCCGGTGAACATTCTTGTTTCATGGCCGTTGGCGAGATAAGACGAATCTGAAGGGATTACATCGAAATTTCGAGGCTCACTGACATCACGGCCGCCTAGATGAACTGTAATTTGATACTTCCCCACCACAGTGGGACAAAATGTAACCGCATATCCAGTAGTTTCAACTTGAACGCTTTCCGGAGCCAGTGAACCGGTGCCAAATAGCGAACGAAAACAAACAGTGGGTGGTTCGGAGAGTTTCAGCTCCGGTCCGGGAATAAGATGGAATGTCTGTGTTGATCCAACTGCCATAGCTAAATGAATGAAGTGGACCGATGGATTGAAAGACACACCAGTCGTGTTGAGTAACAAACAAACAAAAAGCAAACCTTGAACGTAACATTGTCGTTCTTGACCTTGTGCTTATTAAAAATGTACCATCACACGCTCCCAATTTTCAATGCTCTACTCTGTTCATTCTCATTGGTGTTGCGCTAGCACCACGCTTATTCCCGAGCTCGTAGATGGAAAATGAAAACTGAAAACCTCGAGAGAAATCACACGTAATTGACGTATTTTGTGATGTGATAGTTTGTAAAACTCATGAATAATACAGTCAGGCGCTCAGAGTTATTTGGACCCCCACAAAATAATGCGACTAAGCAGTATATATATGTCGAGTAAAATCTCCTGTGACATTAGGACAAACGGTATTTTCACAAGCAATCGAACAGAACATAAGCATGTACTGTGAAACCGAACACGTACTCGTATTTAGGTCGACGATCCTAATTCGGCGAGTATCGAATGGCGGTCGAACGGTGACACGTAGTGGAGATTTGCATGTAGGTATATTGCCCAGCATTGGAGTAAAGGTGACCTCATTCATGCTCGGATCTGGAGTATATTCAACGCGGTATGTGCCATCGGGTTGCTTGTTCACTTTCACGGGGACTGAACGACCGTGTTCGTCCGCAGCACGCACGGTTACCGGGTAACTTCGGATTGTTTCGGGAGTCTGTTCGCCGGGAAACGCTTCACGTGGATCTACAATGAAGTGAGTCGGTTCGTTCAACAGAGCATCGTTCAATCCGGGACCATAAACTTTGACCTTCTCCGGTTGGACATCTGCGGCCACATTAACCTTGACGGCAGGAGATCAATGGAGGAAAAATCTGTGATGAACATTGTTTTCAAGAACCAATAAAAATCTTCGTACATTTATGACGCGAATAGATCGTAAGAGAAAAATTATGAGAATGGAAACTGTGATCCTGATCCAGTAATATTGAACGACTTTAATCAGCCCACGATTACCTGAAATGAGTCATTGGGTAGAAACCTAATATGCAAACGCATTTGATGAATTTTAGGGTGACTGAATGAGAAAAAAAAATCCAATTCACGTGCAACTCATCACCCATTTCATGAAAGAATCACAGGTTTTTTTAACGAAAAATTACTTGATAAAGGTCTACTCAAAGAGACCGCTCCTACTACGATTCCAATTGTCAACACTGCCACCAATTCTCCTAAAAGAAAACGAAGTGCTCAGACAAAAAAATGTCGATGTTATTGTGGTGGTGGTAAGCAGCGTGAAACACGCGCAAGTATATTCGCATGATTGGGTACCACACTGAGACCCACTGAGATGTTCTGCGCTAGGATGCATTGAAAGTAGATAGGGGTCCAGACAAAACAGCCGCAGCCACTTTTGCAAAAGTACGCAGGAGTAACAGGCACGTGAAGAACGTGAGAAAAGAAGCAGTTAAATTGCCGATCACTTCACGATGCACATAGTTTGCATCTGGATGGAAGCGATATACATTGAACACTGAATTGTTGCACTCCGAGAGGAAATCGTACGTATGTTGAGAATATCAAATTGAGAATCGATTGGATCGGTGGCAAAAGGCCAACAAAAATTAAAAACCTTTGATCAACGTGGTTTATCATTTAGGACATGAGGACTGCAGTTTGGACTGTGGGCAATAAACAAGCAAAAAATGCTTTGTTATACCCCGCTCGAAAACAAATGTTCCTGTTACGTGCTTTTAACCCATGATTACATCGGTTCGAATCTATAAAGACTAGCACACAAATACACATACACTATTATATATAATACATACATATGTAATATATACACAATGTGTTTACCATTGGGCTGAAAACAAATTTAAGAAATACACAACACAGATATCGTAATTGGATATCTGTACACTAACCATGCAATACAGAGTAAATCAAATTAATGGAATTAGGCGTGTTCGCAGAAACAAATACCGACGGTGCTCTTATTGTATCAGAGGTCATACGGTAGTTAAAATGAACATTTTTGCTTCATGAAAGGTAAAAGAAAAGCATTGAAACGAACTAAATATGACTTACTCGGAATGGAGCACCTTGAAGCGGGACATTGGCCACGGTGGCCGAAATCGTGTGCACTCCAGTTGTGGTTGGTGTGTACATATAGACCACAGTGCCATCGGATCGGTGATAAACACGCATAGGTACGGGAGTCCCTGTGACATCATGGCATTCGGCACGTAGAACCGACTCCAAATTTGTGTCACTGATTGTGCGATAAATGGACGGTGGAACAGCATCGGCCAGGCCTTCCACATAGAATTCGACAGGTTTTCCCACAACGACACTAGTTTTGGATTTTTCTACACCCGGACCGTAGATTCGAACCTGAAGGTGAACGTGTGGAATCAGGGACAGAGTAGTGCTTCGTGTTTGGATCTTGATTTGAATGGTACCACATATGAAAAGATCGAATACTTCGTGGATTATGAAGGATAAGGAAAAAGTATTACTGACGGGCGAATTTCGATTAGTTTCAGTTTCAGTTTCAGTTTTAATAACCATTACCATGCACTTTCGTGCGCCGGTTTCGGTTGCTGTGTTTTGGTCGCCCATTTGAATAAAAGAGTAGAATGAAGATTGGAATTTTGAAGGCAAATTCAAGCGGAAGATAGAGAATTCTTATAGATTGATGTTAGAAGAATAATGAGTAGATGAATGAGCACAACTGTTTGCGACAACCAACCATATCACCCAGTATCTCTAATCATCGATGCCCATGATCTCGGGGTTCCCGGTCAGGGAGTCCAACGGGACCCATGTGACTAATTCTCCTGGTTAGGGTTTTCATACCCACATACCAAGTCTTAGTTTGGCCGCCCTTAACCTTTTTCAAAACACTGTCTCGACGAACATCGCTCGCCATGGTAACCTATCTGGTGACATGCGTAACAAATGCCCCAACCAGCGTAATTTATGGAGGTGGACTACTTGCTCTAGTGGACGACCACGATTACCTAAAACTCTACGTCCAACCTCAGCATTGCTCGTCCCGTTACCCCATCAGACTCATGCAATGCGACGTAGACAGCGGTGTTCGAACACCGACAATCTATTTTTATCCTGTTTCCGCAGTGGTCAAGTCTCTTCACCATAGAGCAGAACTGGCCGAACTACTGCAGTATATACTCGACCCTTCATAGACAGCCGGATGTCGCGACGGCGCCAAAGATGCCTCAAGTTGGCAAATGCCAACTGAGCCTTTTGAATGCCTGCCGACACTCCATCCGTGATACGTCCGCCAGGTGAGATATAGCTACTCAGATAACAAAACTTGTTTACTTCCTCTACGCTTAACCCAGTCAGGGTGGGACTGGGTACTGGAGCAATCCAATCTTGGAGATCCATTCACACTTTGAAGGTGCGAAAAGTATGCCAAACGTGGCTACTGTTGATTCTTCTCCTCAGAATCATTTTGTGTTTTTTCGTCTCCACGCCCACTCTGTCGCTTCCTATATGTCCCGGTGACATTCGTTTCGTTCTGGTTATTGATTTCTTACATGATCAATCGTGTGCTTAGTCCTCCCAGTCTCTGACACCTCACTGGACATGCAGACACTCGCACACCGATCACTCGTATGACTTCAACCATACGACGTCTCTTGTGACCTCCATTGTCCCTTACTATGGTTGACCTATGTTCCGTCTACCCTTGTTCTGTACCGGTTCACCGCCTACACACAAGTGAGCTGTTTTGATGGCAACTCGGGAGTCACCTGTTCACCTACACAAACACATATATACACAAACACACAAACACACACAGACGTGTATGCACGCACGCCTTTCGTTCGTTAAGAAGTTGATTGCTTGGCTCATCTTTTGGGAACTTCATGTCATTGCCTGACTGGACTTATTTTGCTTGACTCCGTATACTTTGATCATTTTCTATTTTTGACACAGCGGTGAGCTGTCCCCTATTGAAGCACCTTAATTGTAAGGTGAATGTCGACACCGAGCGCTGTCATATTCGTAATTGATGCACTTATATCTGGAAGTGCCTTAATGACTGTCCTAACCCAGATACCTCACGAATCAAGTACCGTATCACGAGACAATCTTGGTTTTCATTGCACTGGAACCGGGACTTTGCGCGTCACTCATCGCCAGGTTTAACACGGGAAGGCATTCCTTCTAATTCCTCAGAAAAGGAATTAATAGCACACTAGCACTCAAACTATCCAGTTGTTAATCAAGCGTATGGTGAATCTCGCTCGTAGCAGAGCACGGGCCGTGTCCATCCTTGTTGACCAGTAGGAAGGGTAGTCCTCAATGGATCCACACCAGCGGTGGCTGATGGCGATGTGGTCGATTTGAGTCCAGCGCTGTGAAGCGATTGGGTGGTTTCCATGTAGGTCGGTGTCGTTTCTTGTGCGAGAAGTTGGTACTTGACAGAAGCACTCCGTGGTCAACGCAAAGTTGACTTCATAATGTTCTGTGCTGTTTTAGTCCGTGGTCAGCGCAAAGTAGGAGTAGACATTCTCCTTTGTCCGTTCGATTAGCTGGGATTGCATATGAACCACCAAGTAGCCTTTCTGGTTAATCCAGGGACCCGACCTGAGCATTGAAGTCTCCAGCGACTGCCACGATGTCCGATGAACGAGCACTTTGGAGCAGTTGAGATAGGTCCTTGTGGAATTGAGCCGTCACTTCTGGTATGCTGCAATCAGTTGGTGCATAGGCGGATACGACGAATAAACATCGACGCTTCGTTCCGTAAGTGTTGATCCGTACTGAACCGTCCAGACGTACAGCGCAAAGTCGGCTGCTA